CCCTTAACCACCACACCACCTGCTGGCCCAGTTTGGTTATTAATACAGTTTTTTTTTTTATAAGAAAATTAGAATACTTTGTTGATGTATCTTATTAACTATGAAATTCATTTTACTCTCTTGACATGAAAGAACATGCCGAAACACGATTTCTGTTAAAACCTAAGGCTTCCCTGTTGTATTCTGAGCCAATGAGTTCTAGCCCTAATATCCATCTCTGTAATGATGGAATTAATCGTAGAATTCCAATACCATAGTAATTATGAGAACAGTTTGTGAACATTTTGTAATTTACACACAGTATTTGAAAAACAATAATGAGCTCCAATACTCAACAGCCATTTAAGAACAGAAGTTGAATTACCATGATCTCCATCGCACTCCACCGCGAGGTACCCCAGTACATGGCCATGCCTTGGTTTATCACATGCGTCATGGCTCGGACAATCTCTGTGGAAGAACAAACAGGAAGGATTTCATGAGTCTCTCTACTTTTCAAACTTATGTCATTTTTTTTTTTCTCTTTTCGAAGCTTAGAAATTTAGTGCAATGATTTGATATATAGATTTCTTTTGACATTAGTGACAACAAAATAGTCCAAGATGAAATACTGATGGTTTGGAGTTGGTGGTACTTTTGGGTAAATTGATATTCAATTTTCAGTGTGCAGCCATACTGAATGATATCAAAAACTTCATGATCACTTTAAGTTCTTCCTTTACTTTTATCTCTTGATGGATCCTGGACTGATGAAAGAAAACACAGTGAACCTCTTTCAGAACCTGGGTTCTTTATTTGCTAAAGTGAGAAGATGGAGACTACTTATAACTAGAATGTAAGGTCACTGAGGGTGGAAGGCCTGCCTTTCTTTATTGGATGTGCAGAGCTGGGCCACACACAGAGTGGCCGTTTAACAGAGGTGACTCCACTACAGTGTCTTTAGCTTAGCAGAAAGATAAACTTGTTTAATGCTGAACAAACAGCTGAAACCTCAGTGGCTCACAGCCCACAAGGGCACACCCTGTCCTTGGCCACTTTGAACCAAATTTCGTTAGGCACCATGTAATTGATTCACCCAGGCCTGCTCGTGGTCCCACCCAGTTTACTCATCAGCCTCTTTCAGCTTGACATCATATCTCCTAAACAGGAAAATGAATCCCTTCCCCAGAGGGGTGGAACTGAGTTAATCCTCTTGGCACTCCTCAGATGTGATGCAGAACTAGAGAGCCGGGAGAGCCTGAAGTTCACTTTAGAGAACATTCACAGACATGGCTGGATTTCTTCTGCAAAGCAGGTTAGACATGTGCCCAGGATACCAGGTCATTTGACATTTTCAAGGGATCACAGGCCTTGGGCTTCTCTATGTCTCAGCAATACCAGTTGGTTAAATGTCTTTTAGAAAAATTAAATCCTGGGGCTGGCAGGTGGTATGGTGGTTGAAGTGCTGGACTCCCACATGGCCAATCATGGTTCGACTCCCAGACCTGGCGGCTTGCTTTCTCACTTTCCTTCTCTCTCTCTCTTTCTCTGGGTCTCTCTCTGGTCAAATTAAAATAAATAAATAAATTTAAAAAAAGAGAGAAAATCGAATCCTTGTCTTATAGCAGAGTAGAAGTAGATGTATGCCTATTTTTATTTCTTATGGGCAGACACTGTCTAGATTGATTGGGAACAGGATTAGGAATGAGATGACCAGTTAGGATTTTAGCATCTTTTTTTTTTTTTTTTTTGAGAGATTTTCACTGTAGGGCGCGTGCGCTCGCCAGACAGACAGAGAGAGACATAGAGACAGAAAGCGAGAAATCACCCCCCAGGGGGGATGGTCACGCTGCAATCCCTTCTCCTCCATTCTCCTCTCGGGATCTTGGGCACGCACGCACACGCGCCCGGCGTGAGTTTTAAGCCACCGGGTTCGGGACACGAACCGCGGTCGACTACGTGGGAGTCCAGCGACATAGCCATTACGCTAACTGCTGGTTCCCAGATTTTAGCATCTTTTCTTGTCTAACTTACGTTAGCTCTTTTAAGTTGCTTTGTTTGGAAGATGGAAATGCTCTCATTCACCAATCCCTGTCCAACAGAGGTAGAATTTGGTTTATAAGCAAAACGTTTTTCATTCTTTGAGGAAGACTCCCAAGTACTAGATTACTATTCAGCAATTAAAGCTATGCAGTTCATCCTCCCTTTATAAAATAAATATGATAAAAAGTTATAAGAATCTGTTTTTCCTCTCTTGCATTATGCAAATGAAGGTAAATACCTATGACAAATACTTTCTGGACGTTGAAAACCATTATTTAAATCTCTGCCCCGCTGTATTCTCTTTGGACATTTCCACCATTGCACCAGCTCCCTTTCCCTTCACATCCCATGTCTTGTTTCATTCAGAGTGGGACAGTTATCTAACCAACAAGATTTATTAGGTGTCTGCTGTTCTGGGTGCTGGAGGTACTGTGGTGAATCAAATATGTAAGTGAACACTGAAGAGGCTAACAAAAAATCAAACCTGGGCCCTCTCTGGTTCTGTCTCTGTAATGAAGTCGGATGAGCACAGGACACCGTCAGGTGGCTGGGCCATGTGGGAGCCTCTGAAGGCCTTGACAAAAGCCGTCAAAGTGTAGGGGAGATTGTGACTCTTTCCACACATTCATTCTGTGATTCCACACACATGAATTTGGAGCCTAAATATTTGCCAGGCACTGTGCCAGTCACTGGGTTCATCTTTGTAAAACAAGCATGAAGTTCCTGGACTTAGGAAGTTTAACGTTGAATTGGAAAGATGGAGAAGTAAGTAATTACAAAATGTGGAGTGTTAAAAAATAAGCAAATAAGGGGCTAGGGTAGAAATGAAAGGGCAGACTTTATTTAGTGAGGGCAAGAAGAGTCTCACTGAGGAGTAATGTTTAGGCATAAAAAGGAAAAACAACCATGGGCAGGACAGGGAAAACACATCCTAGGCAGATAACATGTGTAGAGACCCCGAGATAGGACAAAGCATGGTCAGTTCCAGCAACTGGAGGAAAACCAGACAGCAGGAGCCTAGTGAGGAAGGAAGACAGGGGTCCAAGATAAGCTGGCAGGAGTCAAACCATGTTACTTGTATGTTATTCAGAGTTTAATGGAGTCATTAAGTTTATTTATTTTTTTAGGTAAAGGGATGATAGGATGTAGTTTATGTTTCAGAACACTACTGTGGGGGATCCATAGTGAAGGGGAAGGTTGGAGGAAACAGAAAGATCTTTAGGAAGTATTCCAACATTCCGGTCAGGAGATGAGGGTGAGTTAGAATAGGTGGGAGTCGTAAAAAATAGATGTAAATGGATTCAAAATATATTTTGGAGGTCACACCCACAGGACTGGCAGATGGACTGAGTGTGGTAAATCAGGGAAAGGGAGGAATTAAGGCTATCTCTGAGACATGTGGTGATTTATAGAGATGAGGAAGACTGAGGGAGGAACAGGTTTTGGGAGGGAAAATCAATGATTCTTTTTTTTTGTAGAGGTTTTCACTATAGGGCGCGTGCACTCGCCAGACAGACAGAGAGAGACATAGAGACAGAAAGTGAGAAATCCCCCCACAGGGGGGATGGTCATGCTGCAATCCCTTCTCCTCCATTCTCCTCTCGGGATCTTGGGCACGCACGCACATGCACCCGGCATGAGTTCTAAGCCACCGGGTCCGGGACGCGAACCGCGGTCGACTATGTGGGAGTCCAGCGACATAGCCATTACGCTAACTGCTGGTTCCCAATGATTCTTTTTTGAACATGCAAAAAGTGGAGGTGACTTTGAGATACTAAAGGGAGATGTCAAGTCAACATAATTGGATAAATGCCATGGTGACTGATCTGGGCCGGAGGTGGCATATTTATTTGTTATTAGTCTATTGATTGTATTTAAATTCATGGAAGTGGATGAGCATATATAAAGGACATCTGTAGAGAGAAAAGAGAAGAAGTTCTAATTATTAGCTTAGGGGTTGAAGCAATGCCCCGGTGTAGGATGCTGGGTAATCGGTAACCAGAGGGGCAAGAAGGAAGCCAGAGAGAAGCTTCAGAACCAGGAGCAGAGGGTACTTCAAGAGGAAGCTGTGCCTACAGGGTAGACACTGTGGACATTCAAGTCAGAAGGGCACAGAATGGTGGCCATTGATTAGGCTCCATAAAGGGAGTTCACTACAGACCATGAGAGGAGCAGTTGACAGGACAGAGGCCAGGCTAGAGGTGACGGAAGAATGGGTGGGGGAGGCGAGGGTCAGTGACACCCTGCGTAGATAACTGACCTTTGCATGAGTTTGGATATGAATGGAGAAAAGAGATGAGGCAGTAGCTGAAGGGTATTCAGGGTCAAAGAGAGTTTTATGCTAAAGATTTAAATTATTTTCTTTTAATTTAAAGATGTAAGAGGAAGCTTGTAGGCCATTGGGAGTGACCTAAAAAGAAGGAATTATTGATGAAGTAGACTAGGGCTTGGGAAGTAAGGGAGAGAGACTTGATAACTTGAGACAGAGGAGCGCAGAGCCGGTCTGTCAAGATGGTGAGATCCAAGCTGTATTGTAGAGGTCACCACGGGGAGACGTGAGAGTTCTCTGGTCTCAAGGGATTGTGGGAGGTGAAAAGGAGGTGGGCGTGAGAAGTAAGGAAAAGGCCAAGAGAGGTTCTGCAAGATACTCCAATGCACCATATCCTTTGGTGGCTGCATTTCTTCTTCACTGATCTGTTTGGCATTTGATCCTAAAAAGAAGGGTTTGGTGAATGGGGAAAGAGGACCCAGGGTTCTTATCTTTGGAGGAGGCGACAGCACAGAGGTAGAAAGAATGAGAGGCCACGCCACGCTGGAGATTCTTGTTGCCGCCAATCAAAATGTAAGGTAAGACATATTAAACTAGCCCCTTTTTTTTAAACGTCGGAAAAAAGTTCCCTAAATTATTTAGCTAGCTTATCGGAAATAACACAATGCCGATGGCTGAGACGGGTCTTCACATGAGTCTAACGCGTAAGGACACTAGAGGGCACCATTGTTGAAAGAAAAAATCCACGGAGCCTAGACTTTGTTTTAGAGTGTGTCATGGAACTGCACTTTAAAAGCATCCTGGGCAGAGGACTGATTCTGAATGGGGAAAAGGACACTGGAAAGGTCATTTAGGTCCTTGTATTCACCTGCTGTA